AATAAACAGCTGTTTTACTAAACTCTTCTGAGGTGAAATTCAATATAGTCCCGTATCGTGATATGTATCGCACCGTGGCCTCTATATCGTGATATGTACCGTATCGTGACTTTGCTGGTGATACACAGCCCATACCAAAAAAACAACACACGAGTTCAAACTCTTCTAATGTTCTCACCAGTAGCGAAACTTGGATCCGAGGGTGAAGTACTGCAGGAAGAGGTTTCTCTCCGGAGGAACGGGCCGCTCCAGTCTGAAGAACGTGTGATGCTCCACGCAGGCCTTCCATAAGTTCTTACAAGCTCTGTAGTTCATCATGTTGAAACCCAATAAAGACTCTCTGTTCTCAGTCTGTGAAACACATTATGAAAAAAAAAACAGAGATCAGACGGAAGAAAACGAGAAAAAAAGGTTTGTTGAGCTCAAAGCAGATTTTAGCAAATTATCCATTTTAGTATGTAACAGTTTCAGTTGTTAGTACCAATCACAATTTTGCATTTTTTTATTTTATTTTGATACTACAGCAAAAGATATGATTTCAAATTTAAAAAGTAAAATATTAATTAAATTGTAGTCTTCAGTTATTTCTTAAGTAAACAGCAGGTAATAATGAACATAATTAGACACAATAATCAAGTAAAGAGAGATTAAATGAAAAACAAGTCTAAACAAATACATAATTTTGTACATACCAGTTCTTTTCTTAGTTGTATAAAAAACTGTTTAGATTTAAAAGATATTTTTACAATTTTCAACCTGAAACACAAAAAAAGAGAGGGAATGGGACATAAAAGATTAAACAAATTTGTATCCACAAGCTTTCAGTTGTGTTTATTTCAACGCAAATTTAAGGAGACGTCTAAGGAGATATTCACAGATAAAATGACACTCACCATGCAAAGTGGTTGACTCGTACCCTGTCCTTATAGACGGAGATGCCGGCAGACAAAACTCCGATGTAAATCTCTGTGTTACAGTGGTCCTGAAATCATCAAGAGTTGGAAACCATAAGGATGCAGTTTCCATGGCAACATCAAAACCATTTTGTTTCAAAGGGTGCTTAAACTTTTGGTTTACTTAAGAAGGGATGCTTATACTGGTGACCATTTCAATATCGACCAATAACGCTAGATGGATTGAACAGTTAAAAGAAACAACAGATGACAAAACAGTATACTGAATGAACAAATACCTAGAACAACCTAATAGTGATGTACGAAAATACTACTACTGCTTTCTACTTCAAACTTTCACATTTAATTTTTTCCATTTCTTTTTAATTAATTGTAAAAATTTACTAGCAATTAAATAATTTAAGCTTTTTTCAGCTAGAAAATTAACTGTAGTCAGTAGCATTTTGATATACAGTCAAACCAAAAATGATTCAGACACCAGATATAATTTTTTATATTTTTTTAACTAGTGGGTGCAGGACACTATAGTTCAATTATTTCAATGAGGATAGCAAAATAAAGTAGATGAATTTGTTCTGACACAGTTTAACTCTGAGTTCTTGTCATATTTTATTACCATTTTCTAAACTCTAGCAAATAAACTGATATAATTTGAGAAATGTTGAAGGTGTCTAAATAAATTTTGGTTTGACTGTATATATATAAGTTGTGTGTGTGTGTGTGTGTGTGTGTGTGTGTTATATTGTATTATAATATAATTCTGTTTATCATTTCAACATTTTTTTTTTGTTTGTATTCCCACCAGTCCCCGTGCCAACAGGGATGCCTACTCCGGCATGGACACTCCAGGGTCCAAACGCAAGCTTTACAGTGCTGTGCCAGGAAGACACTATATGGTGGTCAAGTCTTACCAACCGCAGGGCGAGGGAGAAATCGCTTTGTATAAGAACGACAGGGTCAAAGGTACATATATCTCTAAAAAAAATTTCAGTTTAAATTTACTCAATTAAACCATATGTTATTGATAGTAAATATGGACATTTTTAAGAGTGTGTGCACCAAATGCAGGGAAAAGCTGGTTTGTAGCAGGCAGTGCAGTTTCTCCTGCCATATGGAGAGCAAGAATTCACAGATTCTGCCCTTCGGCACCAGGCGATGCCTGGCCAGAGCTAGCAACACTTCACAAACAGAAAGAGATGAACTAGAGAGGTTTCAGTGGAATGAAGACTTCATTGGATAACATCAGCATATGTCTGATATATTATATTGTCATGTGTAAATTTATACACATCCATAGTGAAGTGGTCAGAATGCCTGTTAATGCCGAAGTGATCTTAAAAGAGCTGTATGTGTAACGGGCATTTTTCCTAGTGTCATATATAGGATTGCACATGCAGTTTGTAAATAATGAGAAGAGTGTTTTATATTTATATTTTTGCTGACATTCTCATACGTAGTTCTCAGTATTGGAGAAGGAGGATTCTGGGAAGGCAGTGCCCGAGGGAATGTAGGCTGGTTCCCAGCAGAATGCGTGGAAGAGATCCCAAGCAAACCCAACGAGGACAGGCCCTGTGAGTGTTTACACACAAACACTCACTTTGAACATGTTCTCATTCACTGTCATGCCAACTTAAAGGGATAGTACACCAAAAATGACACTTCTGTCATTAATTAATCACCCTCCTGTCGTTCCAAACCCGTGAGACCTTCGTTTATCATCAGAACGCAATTTATTTATTTATTTGATGAAATCTGAGAGCTTTCTGACCCTGCATAGACAGCAACGCATCTGACACGTTCAAGGCCCAGAAAGGTAGTAAGGACATCGTTAAAATAGTCCATGTGACATCATGGTTCAACCGTAATTTTATAAAGCTACGAGAATACTTTTTGTGCACAAAAAACAAAAATAAGAACTTTATTCAACAATTTCTTCTCTTCACAAGATTATCACAGCGTATGCATGTGGTGCTGCTGACGCAGGAGGGATAGTGAACTCAACACACACCAGTGCTATTTTACTATTATTGTATTTTATGTTTTAGTTGTAGTCACTTAACTTATTTTAGGTAATTGCAAATGCAACATTCCTTATTTTTCGTGTTTTGATATTTTCAAAGTGTTTGAAATTTAAGTTTTCATTCTGTTTGACAGAATGTTCATGCTGCTCTATTTCATACAACGAAACTAGTCCATACCACTTCTATGCTACATTCCAAAGTTGAAGCTGTACAGTAGTTTTGAAATGTGACAACCAATGTTGATATTGATGTCAAACTTTGCATGAAGTGTCTTCATACAGCATATTTTAATAGACTTGAATGAGATTTCAGAGCTGCAGTGAAGGTATTTTTTGAAATTCTTATGTTTTCCAATGGCTGTCATATGGCTTCAGAAGACTTGCAATATATCACCTGAGTCTTATAGACTACTTTTTGGTACTTCTTATAATGCTCTTTCTGATTTTGGAGCCTAACAGCCCCTGGTCACCATTTACTTTGTGCATTGTATGAAAAGGTGCAGCATGAACATTCTGTTAAATATCTTCTTTTGTTTTCCACTGAACAAAAAAATCATACAAATCTAGAACAACATGGGGGTAAGTAAATGATGACAGAATATTCATTTTGGGTGAACTATCACCAGTAAAGTGTACACTTCAAATTACACAATTGTTCGACATATTACAAGGTGAGGGGAAGAAACACTTTTCCCGCTCCTCTTATTATGTCTTCTCTAACTCTATTCTTCTCCAGTGCTCTGATAACCTGCAGAATATGTGAGGAGCCTTGCGGCGATAACAGGCTGTTAATTCAGTTAGTGTTCATTTGCAACTAGGCCACAAAGCACCTCTCAGATCAAATAATCGCATTCATCCGTCAACCACCGGTGTGAATGAGCACCTGAGAATTTGATTTGCGCATTATATCCAAATTGGACAGAGCACAGGAATGCCATTAACAGCAATCATAGCTCTACTCTAGTTAAATTTAGATTTTTTTTTAGTTGTAAGTACAATCATTGGCTGTTGTGTAGCTTTGGTGTGTGCACTCAACGTTCGCTGTGCAAATTGGCAGAAGGGGCCAGGGGCAACATTCTGTTGAGAGTTGTTATTTTGGGCCAAATGAATGCCTTCCACATCAGTGCAGCTACTGTGCGTTTTTCAGCCCTGTATGTGTCTGTGGTGTCATAGAGGCGTTTAGAATTTTTCTTCATTGAAACACATCCGAACCTTTATAACAGTAACCGTAAAAAGCTTTGCATTGCAACACACTTGACATAATGAAATTATCCAAATCCTGTTGTTAATCTACAATCATGCTTTAGTCTAAAATCTCCAACACAATTCTCTGCTGTGGTCCAGATTGTTGCTTATGACCATGTACAGTAAGACAGCTATTGGCAGCTACACGAAACAAATGGAGAGCTGTTCATGACAGCATGTGGCGAGCAGAATGGAGGTGTGGTGAACGACAGCTGTCATTGGCCGAGAGGCTTTGGCCCATGTGACTCGGGGAGTGAGTCTGGCTGACTCAGCTCTCAGACTGTAAGATCTAAGTTCACCCGTCATGTGATGGAACATGACATTTGCCTTAAGGTTGTGCTGCAGAAGCACAGTAAGTGCTTCTGCATCTGTACGGCTAACATAAATGCTGTTATTAAAGGTGAAGTGTGTAATTTCAGAACTGAATTGTAAAAAAAATGGTTTTCAAACAGGTTTCCTGTGTGCTATTCGTTGGATAAATAAGTAGCCCTGCCCTAAACTCATTCTACTGGTTGAGCCAGTGTTGCTATGCTAAGTTGGAATTCTCAAATAAACATAGCAGTGTTTTGAAAGCGCCAGAGTGTTTATACTTTTCGGGTTAATAATTGCATAGTTGTCTTTGTTAAATGAGAAAGTATTTTAAGTTAACAATAACAGTGTCTATATATCTAGTTTGAAGTTATGTGTTTTTAGTTTTTTTTTTCCCAAGAAAAAAAATATTTAATGTGGTATTATCTGTGAAGTAAAATTCCCTATGATAATTATTTTAATAATTGAACATTTTAAATAAATAAAGATGTGTAAATTGCACTTTTAATATATATTTGAATAAATTAATAAATAAGGACGAAAAATGCATGCACGCCATTGACCCAAATACATAATTGGTGGCAAAATTTGATCTTTTGCCTATACCATTTTATTCCTCATGTTATTGCCAATAATTGAGTTGTCGCAACACATTTGATCAATTTGTGCACTTTTTAGCAGTAATCGGAGGTGAAAATGCTTGCTATGTTTGGTATAAGTGTCACCTGAGGCATTTTGAATCTCATCCATGTTTGCTAGTGTTGCAAAAGAAGCAGGGCGGCAGTGTGAAAAGGTGAGAAATGCTATGTTGAGATGGGAGCCATTGGCAGCCTTGAAATCCATGGCTACTACAATGCACACTACGAGCGAAGCGCTTTTGAAGAGTTGCAAGGACAGCTGATTTCTTTCATTGATTTATGAAATTGTCATTTGGTTCCCATAGCGATGCTTTCATGGTTATTGTAATCACATTTTTTGAAGATTGTTGCCCAAATCTGTCTTATTTTGCGGTGAATCCAACAACTAGCCAAGATACATAACATACGCTGCTGGATAGCCTTAAAAGTTGACTATCTAGTGCAGTGTCCAAAATCGGCTACAGTTAAATCCAGCATCAGCTGGTTAGCAGCAGCACAAGTAATCTACTGAAGTCTCTTGAACCTTTCCGAGCAACACTCATGCACATTCCTGATTGATATATTTCCATGGAAACATGCTCTACACTGTACAAACCTTGTTGCTATGGAGTGGGCCTTGGTAAGATTTTTTTCCTCTTTTTGTGGCATCTTTTTTTTCCCTGTCTCACACACTCTCTCTCCCTCTCACGGTACTGAGAACAGAGCTTACATACCATCTTTTCCAATGCCACGGTTCTCTTTTCCATGTGTGTGATGCTGATGGTCAGCTCTCACCTGAGCGCTCGAGGAGACACAAGAGTTTTTGGAGATGGGAAGTTAGGCGTCAGGGCCTGAGGGATCGAGAAAAGTGGCAATCGCCCCTCAGGCAAGGAGAACTAAGTGTTTCTCGGATTGACTCGGGGGTGAACTAAAGGGGACCAATGGACGAGACTAGCAGATCTAGGAAGAAGGTTCATTTTGGAGGTATGTCGATTTGAGGATGTTGCAGACTGAGGAGTTTTGTGACGAATTACGGATTTGTGCCACCAATAATTGCATGTTTTGCTCTGCGCTCTTTATTACGATGTGGACAATTATATAGGAATGATTAGTTTGAGTCTATTGTCAATAAAATTTCAGTTGCGTTTTTTTTTTGTAGTATTTCTTGTGTTTTGAGTCTTTTCACTTGGGTTTTGAGGTAATTGTGGATCTTGATGACTTTTGTGTCAGTTTCAGAAGCCTTGAACAGTTGTCGAAAACAAATTGTAGTAAAATATCCAAATCAAATATCAAAATCGTCTTGGGGTCATTTTTCGATCTAATTCAGTTCTCCATCATGTTGTAGCTTTGTCAAAGATGACAAATCAGATAATGTTTTTATTATATTGAGTGAGAAACTGTGACCTAGTCATAGAGTTGTAAAACTTGTGTGACTGGCAGAATATTATAGTTATTACTTTTTTTTTTCCAGTGGTGCGCTCTGACTCTGCCTTGAAAGTTTTGCATCCTTCAAGTCGTGCTTGCTGCACGTTTACTATCTTTATGAATTTTATCAAGTGAGCCACACAGCTAGTTACCCCTGGTGGTTATAAATCAGGTGTTGTAGCAACTGTCATCGCTGCTCGCCTTCATGTCAAATAGACTTTTTTTCCTCACACTGTCCACAGAGGAACAAAGCTTGTGTCAAGTACGTGTGGCCCTGTGTACGTGCCAGAACACTTTTTGTTGGAAATACGACACAGCTGCTACAGAAAACAGACAGGGTGTTCAATTAAGATGTGAGAAAGAGAATGAAAAAGAGATGTGGTGGCCATTTTATTCATCCAATTAATTATAACATCCATATCTCTTGATATTAAATTCCTCTGTTCAGATTTATGCATGAAACAAAACTGGATAATGCACAACCTGACAAAACACATCTATAAATGGTAATGTCAAGGCTCAGAGTGTGATGATTCACTTGCACACTCAAACGATTCAGTTTTGATTTATTCAGTTGATGAGATGCATCATAACAGGTCCAGTCTGACCTCAATATTATTTGATTCGTTTCCATACAAATGGCAAAAAATAAGCCTTAGAGTGCCAAATGCATACTTTTCAGAAATTCTCATGATTCACATTTTAAAGCCGATTTGAATGCTATTTTTTGAATTTGATGGCCATGTTTTGCTAAAACAGTTTGATTAACCAAAATATTCATTAAACTGCCTTTTTATATATTTGAAACAACTGACAGATGGGGAGGACATCTTACATTAGCAGTCACAGGATAGAACGGATGTCTCTGTAGAATTGCACTGAATCTAAACCTCCTTTTGTTTGAACATCAAAACGTTTCAGCTCAACGAAGAATTGAGAGTCTGTAACTTTAACAGCTAACCAGTGAGTAGGTTGGAAGGGGAAAGTGTTGAATCCCACGCAGCCTCCTGACTACTGATATCAACGTGTATCAACAGAATCGCAGAGGACAATACAAGTGGTGCAGTTTTCAGAAGCTGCAGCCTGCAGAACAAACTCCTCGAGAATCTCATTAATGGATAAATATGTGTACACGGTTGCTCAGGATCTTTATTATCACCAGTTGTGTCTCCGTTAATGGGTGTCCTTCCTCCGTAGATATAATTAGCCTTCCTTATATAAGTAAACTTTGGGGGATGTGCTTAACATTAAGGTGATTCGATTAAATTCAGATATTAATCCAGTGTTTTATCCATTTGTCCAAGTCCTCTGTGGACAGTTGTTGGTTTGTTGTTGTACAAACATCATGGCGTAGGAGCGGCCTAGAACGAACGCTCCCCTCGGAGAAGTTCGGAAGAGCGAAAGCGGAGCCGTGTAAACGATTAATCTCTGCGACATAAAAAAAGTCTCTTCATTAGCTTTGTTAGCTCTTATCCTGGTTCCTTCCATAAAATGCAGTCAATATTTGGCCTTCCTGAACTCTCTCGGAGGACTAGTCTAGTTTGGCTCCATTATGGGCCAAGTGGTCCCTGTCTTCCAAAGAGCTTTTTATTGGTTGCAGTTAAACACGGAAGGTGGTATAGTTGGTCTAGTGCTGATTTTGAATTCACTGTTATAAATTGTGGATTTACTTTAAGCTCACGGCGTGTTCAAGAAATGTGATTTTATTTTATTTTATTTTATTTTTTTATATGTGTGTGTGTGTGTGTCATGCTAGTATTGATTGTCAGTGACAATATGCGTGTCAAGGTACTGTGTGGTGAAACTGTAAGCACCTTTTGTTATTTCATATTAAATTTTTTTTCTAGAGCACAGTTGGCTAAATTATTAAATGTGTTTAAAAAATAGCACCTGGGACTGTGTGACATATGGCACACAGTAAGACCGATATGTGACTAGACAGCTTTTTTATGCAATTATGTAACCGAACCTTTACAACATTCTCACTTTATCACATCTGCTGTACCTCTCAAAAATTCTGGTGACTATTTTTATTCTTTTTGCACATTTTATATTCGGTGTGAAAGTGATGATAATGATGTTGAAGCGTTCAAAGTTTGCTGGGTTAGTGCTTGAACGCAGTCACATCAGAATTTAGGACGTAACTTTTGTTTATGTGTGAAAATAATGAATAAAAAATAATTTTATGACACTTTCTGAGCACTACAGATTTTCAGCACTATGCAAGGTTGAAATATTACATAATTGGGGTGATCTAAAGTAAATGTCTGTGAATATTTCTTCACAGATGCCCGGGCAGACCGATCGGAGAGAAGGAAGCTCTTTCGACACTACACTGTGGGATCTTATGACAGTTTTGATGCATCAAGGTATGATCAAACATTTTTCTAATCCTTCTGACCATGTTTTTTAAAGTGTGACGGGTTCAATACATGATGGTAGTTTGAAATGGGCTCTCTCTTGCGTACATATTTACAGTTCAAAAAAGGTTACAGAGTTTTTTTTTTTTTTTTTTAAATCAGATCGTTTTTCTGTAAACAACATTGCGGTTTCAGATTTTAGTATGTTTTGCCTCAACAAGGTCAGCTATGATGGTGAAAGGCAAGAAACGGACCAGAATAACAGCTCAAATGTCATCATCAGGTCTACACGGAATCTGCGCCTGCGGAATTCCACAGGAATGTCACTCACAAAGTAAAAAAGAAGTTTATTAAATCATTTGTAATTACTTCCCCTGTATAGCAAATTTTTCATATTTCATAGAATTTTCCAGATCTTTCACCAAAATCATCACAAAGAAAATGTGGGGAAAAGATGTGCAGACTCTGTCTGGGCCTGGAGATCATTTTAATACACTGAAATAAATTTGTTGTAGGATTTAACAGTAGAGTAAATTTCACAAATAATCACACAGAAACAGCAAGCAACACAAGTAGAAAGACTGAAAGTGTATTTTCGGTAACACTTAACTTAAAGCCTTTATGTATAATGCATTATAAAAGTAGTTTTAATGCATTAATTATGCCTTGTAATGCATTGTACAATCTCATGAATAATTGTAAATATAATTATTTACGACAAGATATAATGTATTACAATGCACATTATAAATAATTATAATGCATTATACCCTTTAATAACCTTTTATAATGCATTATACATAAAGCCTTTAAGTAAAGCGTTACCATATTTTCTTGTAAAACGTACTTCAGTAATCTTTGTTTTATTTACATCTTTTTTTTTAAATTTTTTATTACAGTGTAGGTTAATAGATTGATTGATTTACCTAAGCTGTAAAAATGGCCAGGTTGTTTTTAAAATCTTAAAAGTTTATATTTTATATGCATTTGATTTACCCCCAAAGACAAAATTCCCTATAGGTTAATAAAGTATAAGCAAAGAAGAAAATTGAAACGATTGATTAATCAATTACTTAAGACCAGTGATGCATCAGATTCCTATTATTAATAACTATTCTTGTGAGTGTATCAAAGTACAGCACGAATTATCCATTTACCTGCGCATCCTTTTGCACAAACCATCATTTCCCAAAACTTTGCCGCCCCAATATGATTTAACACAAAGCACCGCACAAGCACATTGTTATTGACAGGGGAAAAAAGGTTTGAAGTGTGTGAAAACTCTTTAAATGGCCGGTTATTTAGCAACGCTCGAGCTTGGGGTCGTCACTGCGTGATGCAGACACTTTGATGGCATTTAAAAAAAACAATCAGCTCTCTGACATTGTGATGTCATAATATGTGGCTGTCAATCTGCACATTTGAAATAAATTGGCAGTGTGATTTTAGCCACATATCTCTGGTTTTCTATGCAGTCTGGGAATCTTATTTGAAATACGATTTTTATTTTAAACAATAACATTATTTTTAGCTACTGAACTTTAATAGCCCTGTTATTTAAAGGGATAGTTCTCCCAAAAATAAAAATTCTGCCATTAATTACTCACCCTCGTGTCGTTACAAACCCGTAAATCTTTGTTCATCTTCAGAACACAAATTAAGATATTCTTGATGAAATCTGAGAGCTTTCTGACCCTGCATAGACAGTTACGATTGAACCACTGATGTCACATGGACTATTTTAATGATGTCCTTGCTATGTTTCTGAGCCTTAAACATGTCAGTTGCATTGCTGTTTATGCAGGGTCAGAAAGCTCTCGGATTTCATAAAAAATATATTAATTTGTGTCCCGAAGAAAAACGAAGGTATTATGGGTTTGGAACGACATGAGGGTGAGCAATTAATGACAGAATTTTTATTTTTGGGTGAACTGTCCCTTTAAGGGTAATATTAGTTCTTAAAAATGTAGTTTTTGTTGTACTGTGAACTTTACACATTTGTCACAGGGTGTTAAAAAGCCAAAAAAGAGAAAGATCCTCTCGCATCCGGCTATACTCCTACCCAGCTGACACACCCCTCGCTCTGAGCTGGTTGTCATGGAGACAGAGAATCCAAGGCAATGCAGTGCAGGATACTTCCTGCTGCAGGGAGCTTGAGTGACAGCCGTACAAAAGGACACGGGTGCTCTTAGGTGAACTTGTCACAGATACATGCAAGATACCTGCTAGTTATGTCAGTCTTTTGCAGACATGCTCTATATATTATGATTAATAAATTTACAATGGATTCCACTGTAAACTTTTTGGTAGGATAAATACGAATGGATTTTGACTGGATTTAAGATGCATTATTTCGTTTTTATTAAATAGCTAATCCACAACGGTGTATAAATATCGCTCTGTGATGACAGCAGTAACATTGTTTGAAATGAGATCACACACAGGTATAAATGCATTATGAGCAAATAATATTTCCCCCCTTCTAACAGGCCGGGATATTAATGACCTTGTTGCTCTGTGACATCGCCACAGTGTCCCCTTTAAAGCAGATTATGTTGCCATGACAACCATGCATCATTCCTCAGGAGTCAGCACTCTACCTTTTGAGCTCAGAGCTCTTTCAATATTTCAATAAGACTTTATCTTATAGTTAAGACTGTGAGGTCTTGCGATCACAGGTTAAGCCTATTTTGTCAATATGCCAGATAAAGTTTTTATGGGATTATAAACACTTCAAGAAGATCTTTTCGGGTGTATTTTAGGCCGTTAAATTAATCAATCTAGAGCCGCGGTTCATGACCTTCAGTGATTATTTTAGGGTCTGATTCATTCTAAGGACACAAAGTGCAGTAAAATGAATTGGCACAGGCCACAATCCCATTTCCTGATATGAATGAAGTTAACGTACCATGTGGAAATGAGACTCCAGCTCTTTGTGAGAGCTGCAGTTTGAGCAATTCGCTACCCATTCAGTACCCCGGTTTGATTTCCAGGACTGGATTTAATACACCATCTAAAAGATGGTAAGCCCTCTTGTCCTTCAGGGAAAGAGAGAGAACATTTGCTTTCCAGTGCTATCATATTCAAACAGCATATCTCTGGATATCTCCGGTGGCTTCTACAGTTGAACACCTTCAGTAATTGATCTGCTTGCTTGCGGTGTGTGTTTTGGGAAAGGATATTGATGGTGCTAAGCAGGAAGTAACACTCAGTGTCACAAAGATGTTTTGGTGTCATTCAGGACAACCACCACCATAGTGTAACTACTAGAAATAGTCTCTCTTCTAACAGAATTTCGAATTAATAACTCATATTGCATTCGAAAGACTTTTTGAGTGAATTTCTTTGACCCAAAAATTAGTTTTGACTTGTGTTAAAGAAATAGTTCACCTAAAAGCATGAATGACTGAATGAATTTTAAAAATATATTTACCTACTTAATAAATAGGTGGGGTCATTTTTTCCCCTAAAAAGTCTATTTAAAGTCATTAAGAAGTCTGTGTAAACACTTTTTGAAATAATTGCAAGTGATCATTTCTCATTATTTGTTTATGTATATCTGTTCTGTTAAATTTGGCATAATTTGGTAACAGATTGCAGAGGGCTTTAATGCGATTAGATTCTTATTTCTAGATAATTATTATTTAAAAAATACTAAAATGATCGTTTATGTGAGCGCAACCGAAATCGTTAAGAGAAATCATAATCGTTAAATACCTTACGATTCCAATCTGTAATGCACACATAAAATTATTTTTAGTCGCGCGCGCACACATGCATACATTCTTCTCTCTCTCTTTCGCGCGCTCGCTCTTTCTCTGTGGCACTGTAAACCATCTCTCTCTCTCTCTCTCTCATACCCATTCCTCTAAGATTACCGCTCATGTTTTCCTCTGGTGGTTTTCATCCTTCATCTGGCGGTTATGTCTCTCGCTTACGACACGCTATCTCGCCGGCGACCGGGCCCTGCCTTTCTTAACCGGTGTTACAGCTCCTTCTTCGACAGATAAAGCGTGCGGTGAGCTTTTTTCAACGGTTACAACTCTCGTCACATCGCGCTCTTCGTCGCAAAAATGATTAGTTCCGCTCAGCCGACGCCTGTCGGGATGAAGCATCACTCCGCGCGCTCGGCGGTGGCGATGATGAGGATGATAGGCTGTAATAACGGTCGTTATGCGCGGAATTTTCTCCACAGCGACTGCGTTATCAACGAAAAGACGGTCGTGCTGCAGAAGAAGGATAACGAGGGATTCGGGTTCGTGTTGAGAGGGGCGAAAGGTAGGGAGAAAGACGGACCCCTCGTCGTCTCCGCCGCCTCATCATAACTGTTCCTCACTTCATGCTTTACACCCTCGAGAATCAAACCGTGTTGGTCCTTCATTTCACGCTGTTTCCTATCCCCTTTTTTGTACCCCCTCACTTAACGTCATTTCTGTTGATTTCAAAGCGTGTCGTCGCGCGCGCACTTGATTTGATGTGTCTGCGTGGCTTGAGCTGCATGAATTGCATCCATGTGAAGAACTTTTGAATTAATGCATATCTTGGTGTCAGCGTGTCCATCACTTGACTGCGATGCATTTAAGTGGGCTTGTCAATTCTGTGAAGTGTAAATACAGACCCCCACCCATTCCCTGCTCCATGTGCTTGGCTTGTGTTTGACTGCATTAGGGCTCTGCTGGCACTTTGTCTCAAGGGCTTCCTGAGTCTGACAGTCCAGCTGTTTCTTTCTGTGGCTAAAGCGTTTAATTCACTCACAAATCCTTCATAAAAATGTATTTAACTTCAACAAACCTTTAACTATGCAATGTATTAACTACTTAAGATAGACCCTAAAAGTCTCCTTCCCATCCACAACTGCAACACTTTTAGTGCACCACAGATCCCTTGAAGTTGCGAGTGGTGCACCGTGGCTGCTTTCTGCATCAGGTCTTGCGATGCCCCTCGTTCTGTCAGGCTCCAGACCAGTGCTTCTCCCCACACTGTCAGCAGTGACATCCATGCATGCATTTTCTCTGGTTATATAAACGTCCCAAGTCCTGCATTCATTTTTGATTTGGTTGGATGGATGCATTGCAGCTTGCATCATGTATCATCAGACCAAATGCTCTTGTTTAGCCACACTCATTATCCATTGTGCTACCAGGCACTCGTTTTCATAGGAATTGTATTTTTCATACCATCGATGTAAAAGCATGTTATTTTCAGCATGTTTTTGAGTAATGGCAAGCTTAAACATAGACTACATAGATAGGATTATAAATAATATCTAATTTAAATAGTACATATACATACATATATATATATAATATTTAAAATATTTTGTAGTCCAGAATTAGGTTTAATCTGGGCCCATAAAACTAGCATACTGTCTTTTGATCTTTACGATATCTTTCCTTTGGTTCTGTCTTGTCTGGCACGGCCTGGATTTTAGCGGATACTCCTATTGAGGAGTTCACTCCGACCCCGGCGTTCCCTGCTTTGCAGTATCTGGAGTCTGTGGATGAGGGAGGGGTGGCATGGAAAGCTGGCTTGAGGACTGGAGACTTCCTCATCGAGGTAAGAACACGATTGGGTTTCCATAATCTTACGGTTTGTTTTGGAAAGCCTCATAAGCCATTGCTTGCTGAAGGGATGGAAAGGTCCCTGATCAGCTGGAAAGAGTGATGTCCGACCCATGCAGGGGACTTCATCTTGAGCTTGCTGCTGAATCATTCACACGTTAGTGCAAACAGGAGAATGTTTATGCACAGTCGGAGCTTGTGAATATGAGGAAAGGTCATGGTTACATCTTTAATGAGACAGAGTAGCTTAGAGACGCAGGAGATGAGCACTCTTGGAAAAAGCTGTGAACGCACAGAGGTCCGTCCTGTGCAGAAACTCAGTTTTCTGATGTCTCTGGAGCTCTTTGGTCTGGGTTGCATTTAAACGGCTAACCTTTGCATAGGCAGTCTAGCTTATCTTTTTTTAATTCTCACTTTTAATGAATGAGGGTGTAACCTTGACACTCTGAATTCATTTGAAAGTTGAAAATGTCAGGCCGGTAATCACCCATCATGACTCTTTGTAGAAGTTGGGCTTTGAATTTGATAGTTGTCTGAGAGTGATCTTGCATTTATTGGAGGTGGTAAATTTCTAATGCCTCTGAGGTACTTTGGATCTGTAACCTGTCAAGTCCGAAAAAGGAGCAAAGACAGCTAAGAAGTATCATGATGAGGGCTCACTCTGACCATTTCAGTTTTTAACCACCTTGTGCTTATTATCAGATTATACATTCCATTTTGGTTAGAGCAGTGAGATTATATTTTTGGTATGGCACTATATATTTGCTATCTGCAAAACTACCTATTTTCAGAATCGACTTGTCCTTAGCTTGTCTGAACAGTTGGCTTGTTGGTCATAAGCAAGCACAAAACTTCAATCAGGTTAGGTTTATTCTCAGAACATGTTCTTGTGATCAAAAATAGCAAGACTGAAGTGTGATAAAATGTCTCGTGGTGTGGACAAATCCTTCATAGTCATTTTTTTGATATGTGTGCTGTTGAATGCAGTGAATTTGTTGCAGAAGTGCTGCTTTGATGGCCGTAGGTGCTTTAGAGGAGTTGAATTTAAAGAAGCATGTGTTGGTGTGTTCAATTAGTGATTATATATATTCCTGTGATGTAAATCTGAAGTTTCAGCAGCCATTACTCCAGTCTTCAGTGTCATGTTCCTTAAAAAGTCATTTTCAAAATCAAAAATCATATGCTCATTTGCTGCTCAAAAAACATTTCTTATCATCAATGTTGAAAACAGTGGTGCTGCGTAAAGGAAAAGTTCACTCGAAAATGAAAAGTTTCAGAAAATGTACTTACTCTCAGTCCATCCAAGATGTAGCCTAGATGAGTTTGTTTCTTCATCGGAACAGATTTGGAGAAATTTAGCTTTACATTACTTACTCACTTATGGATCTTCTGCAGTGGATGGGTGCCGCAGAATGAGAGTCCAAACAGCTGTTAAAAATCTAGAAAAGTAGTCCACACAACTCTAGCCCATCTGTTAACAGCTTATGAAGTGAAAAGCTGTGTGTTTGTAAGAAACAAATTCATCAAGACCTTTTTAACTTTACATTGTTGTTTCCGGCTAAAATATGAGTCCTCTATCCTTAATACTGCTTCCTTTAGAGAAAAAGTTGTCTAGTCTGAAACAGGAGAGAAACATGCACATATTTACAAGCTAAAACAGTCCAGAACAGCTTTAAACAAATATATTGGTGAATTTTGATGTGAGAGGACAACGGGATGAACATTTTCTCTGGATGAAGCATTAATATGAATTCCGGAGTCATATTTTTGAACAGAAGTGACAATTTATAGTTAAAACACTGTAATGGTGAATCTATTTCTTACAAACATGCAGCTTTTTACTTAAGACATTAATTGATGTACTGGAGTGGTGTGGATTACTTGTGTATTATTGTGATGTTTTTAGCAGCTGTTGGTACTCTCATTCTGATGGCACCCATTCACTGCAGAGGATCCATTGGTGAGCAAGTAATGTAATGTTACATTTCTCCAAATCCTTCAGTGAAGAAACAGTCTGTTGTTTGGAGATTTGGAGAAATTGTCTCATCTACATGCTGAATGGTCTGATGGTGAGCAAATTTTCATTTTTCTTATTTGTGAAAACCATGATGCATTTTTTTCATAGAGCAACATTATTTGTAAGATGTCTTTACTGTCACTTTTAATCACTAGTCAAATGACTAGTAAACCCTCCTGCTCATCCCTATTATAAATATATAATGATGATGGAAGTTTATCTGCAAAACACCTGTCTTGGCCCCTCAGTTCTGGCTGAACTGACACTTCAGCGATGACTTACCACGAGACACGAAAAGCATTGGGAACGTTGTCCTCCTTTCTGCATCAGCAAAATAAGTTCATTTGCATGCAAAATTCAAGAGAACACTCACTTTGTGTTAAAGCACAGAGAGCAGATCCAAGATCTCAGCACCGCATGGAAGGGCAGAGAAGGGAAGAAAATGATTGGCTCTCATGAGTGGCGAAGATTTCATGAATTATTAGCTCCTTACAGTAATCCAAGAGTCTAAATGTAACTAAGCCAGAATGTTTCTATGATAGAGCAGTGGGAGCTGCATTTTGATTATGTAATTTTGCAGGAAGTTTAACGTACGTTCCTACAATGCTAATGACAGTTTTAATATCTAATAGGTTGCTGATGTACTGCAGTGCGACATGCTAAAACTATTTTCAATGCAATTTTGCTAATAATTTTTTTTTCAAGTGTATTGCGATATTAATTGAGATACTATGTGAAATATTTATACTTAAGATAAATTAATTAATCACAGTGCCAGATTATTTAAAACTAACTAGTGAAGGAGAAAGTGTGATTTTAGAAAACGGCAAAATATAAAGAAATAGTAGTTACTAGTTACAGCACCTAAAATATTAATATAAATGTATAGAAATCTTATGTAAGTTTTAATCTAGATTCATGATTTAAAAATTTGATAAGCTTCACTCAATGTCGTAATTTATAAAATATAAAACATAAGTGTATGCAAATGCAATATTGCACTCTAACCACTCTTAACCAGTCTGGCATAAAGTATTTGTATATGTAAAAAGCGTGTATATAAATTGTGTATATAAATTCATTCATCGTCTCTTCTCCCCAAATACCACGGAAACAATAAACACGTTTTAATCGTGCTCTATGATAGAGCAGTGGGAGCTGCATTTTGATTATGTAATTTTGCAGGAAGTTTAACGTACGTTCCTACAATGCTAATGACAGTTTTAATATCTAATAGGTTGCTGATGTACTGCAGTGCGACATGCTAAAATGTGCTGTTGAATGCAGTGAATTTGTTGCAGAAGTGCTGCTTTGATGGCCGTAGGTGCTTTAGAGGAGTTGAATTTAAAGAAGCATGTGTTGGTGTGTTCAATTAGTGATTATATATATTCCTGTGATGTAAATCTGAAGTTTCAGCAGCCATTACTCCAGTCTTCAGTGTCATGTTCCTTAAAAAGTCATTTTCAAAATCAAAAATCATATGCTCATTTGCTGCTCAAAAAACATTTCTTATCATCAATGTTGAAAACAGTGGTGCTGCGTAAAGGAAAAGTTCACTCGAAAATGAAAAGTTTCAGAAAATGTACTTACTCTCAGTCCATCCAAGATGTAGCCTAGATGAGTTTGTTTCTTCATCGGAACAGATTTGGAGAAATTTAGCTTTACATTACTTACTCACTTATGGATCTTCTGCAGTGGATGGGTGCCGCAGAATGAGAGTCCAAACAGCTGTTAAAAATCTAGAAAAGTAGTCCACACAACTCTAGCCCATCTGTTAACAGCTTATGAAGTGAAAAGCTGTGTGTTTGTAAGAAACAAATTCATCAAGACCTTTTTAACTTTACATTGTTGTTTCCGGCTAAAATATGAGTCCTCTATCCTTAATACTGCTTCCTTTAGAGAAAAAGTTGTCTAGTCTGAAACAGGAGAGAAACATGCACATATTTACAAGCTAAAACAGTCCAGAACAGCTTTAAACAAATATATTGGTGAATTTTGATGTGAGAGGACAACGGGATGAACATTTTCTCTGGATGAAGCATTAATATGAATTCCGGAGTCATATTTTTGAACAGAAGTGACAATTTATAGTTAAAACACTGTAATGGTGAATCTATTTCTTACAAACATGCAGCTTTTTACTTAAGACATTAATTGATGTACTGGAGTGGTGTGGATTACTTGTGTATTATTGTGATGTTTTTAGCAGCTGTTGGTACTCTCATTCTGATGGCACCCATTCACTGCAGAGGATCCATTGGTGAGCAAGTAATGTAATGTTACATTTCTCCAAATCCTTCAGTGAAGAAACAGTCTGTTGTTTGGAGATTTGGAGAAATTGTCTCATCTACATGCTGAATGGTCTGATGGTGAGCAAATTTTCATTTTTCTTATTTGTGAAAACCATGATGCATTTTTTTCATAGAGCAACATTATTTGTAAGATGTCTTTACTGTCACTTTTAATCACTAGTCAAATGACTAGTAAACCCTCCTGCTCATCCCTATTATAAATATATAATGATGATGGAAGTTTATCTGCAAAACACCTGTCTTGGCCCCTCAGTTCTGGCTGAACTGACACTTCAGCGATGACTTACCACGAGACACGAAAAGCATTGGGAACGTTGTCCTCCTTTCTGCATCAGCAAAATAAGTTCATTTGCATGCAAAATTCAAGAGAACACTCACTTTGTGTTAAAGCACAGAGAGCAGATCCAAGATCTCAGCACCGCATGGAAGGGCAGAGAAGGGAAGAAAATGATTGGCTCTCATGAGTGGCGAAGATTTCATGAATTATTAGCTCCTTACAGTAATCCAAGAGTCTAAATGTAACTAAGCCAGAATGTTTCTATGATAGAGCAGTGGGAGCTGCATTTTGATTATGTAATTTTGCAGGAAGTTTAACGTACGTTCCTACAATGCTAATGACAGTTTTAATATCTAATAGGTTGCTGATGTACTGCAGTGCGACATGCT